GATTTTGAAGCCATTCTCTGGACAACGAGAAGGGGGAAACTAGTATTTTCCTTTTTGAAGGTTGGAATGAAGATGGTAACGTTCAGTTCAGATTGCGTCCTTTATATAGAAGGTTGGAGACCCCAAAATATCTTGAGCAGTATGATCGATGGCGATTTCTGGTTAACAGTAAAAGAAGGGGACAGTGATGAATATACCGACGGTGTTGCATTTTCTGGTTAACAGTAAAGAAGGGGACAATGATGGATATACCGACGGTGTTGCATGCATTTCCTATTCAAACGCGCGAAAACTGCCAAAACACGTCTTGGATTTTATTTGATTGTAATCTTTGAAATCTCTATCAAATTCTTATCTACTTCGTATTACCAAATGAGAAGATGCCAACACGTCTTCCCACTTCCCAAGTAGAGTGAGGTGTCATATATAAAAATGCATTGATGGGATTTTTATTCAGATAAGAGCGAATTCGAGACAGCACTTCTCATTAAGAAATAGAGCGACAGATTCACTAAGTGTAACAAACGAATAGGCTAATCCGGACCGACCGACATGCATATAGACTCAGACTCAGACTCAGACTCAGACTCAGTTCGAATTATTTTTTCTTTTTGGCGAGAAGTCTTCATAGGAGAGAAGAATATAGTAATATAATTATTAAAGATATATTATTTAAAATGAAAGTGGAAAATATATTATGTAAATGATGCCGTGAAAAAACTCGACTAAATGTTAATTTATGGAGGAATATATGACTATGGAAGGAAATGACTATGAAATAGTAATTGAACTTTTAGAGAATAAAAAACAGTTAAAAAAAAAAAAAATTGTTCTTAAAGTATTACTGACATAATGTATTACGAAAGGTGTGATTTGTGGTGGAGAAGTATTTACTTAACAGTTAAACGATCATTTTATTAACTATTTACTTAAAGTTAAACCATCATTTTTTTGAACTTTCTCACGAGAAAGTTTAAACTACTAAAAAAAGGACAATTTAATTTCTACATTTATTCTCTCAAAGTTAAACCGTCATCTTAAAAGACTTTTTTTTTTATTTTTTGGATCAAAGTTCTTTCATATGTTTGATCTTTTTGCGAGATAGATTCTTCAAGGTGTTAAATCATAATATCTAATGGTCCGTTTGATTGCAATGGTGAAAAATAAGTGGAAATAAATGAATTTTAGAGAAAGTAATTGTTTAGAAAATGTTTTGTAAGAATTGTTAATTAAGTGTGTTCAATTGTTATAATTTTCCACCCGTAAAATTTTTAAATTTTGTGTTTGTT